GTATTGGGCTTTAACGGACCGTATTGGGCATTAATGGATCGTATTTGCCTTAATGGATCGTATTGGGTTTTAACGGACCGTATTTGTTTTAATGGACCGTATTGGGCCTTAATAGATCGTATTGGACATTAATGAATCGTATTGGCCTTTAACGGACCGTATTTGCTTTAATGAACCGTATTGGTCTTTAAAGGACCGTATTGGACATTAATGGATCGTATTTACTTTAATGGACTGTATTGGGCCTTAATGGATCGTATTGTTCATTAATGAATCGTATTGGTCTTTAATGGACCGTATTGGACATTAATGGATCGTATTTGCTTTAATGGACCGTATTAGGCCTTAATGGATCGTATTGTTCTTTAATGAAAGGTATTGGGCTTTAACGGACCGTATTGGGCTTTAATGGATCGTATTGGGCTTTAACAAACCGTATTTGCTTTAATGGATCATATTGGGCCTTAATGGATCATATTGGGATTTAACGGACCGTATTGGGCTTTAACGGACAGTATTGGACATTAATGGATCGTATTTGCTTTAATGGACCGTATTGGGTCGTAATGGATCGTATTGGGCTTTAACGGACCGTATTGGACATTAATGGATTGTATTGTTCATTAATGGACCGTATTGGGCTTTAACGGACTATATTGGACATTAATGGATCGTATTTGCTTTAATGGACCGTATTAGGCCTTAATGGATCGTATTGGGCTTTAATGGATGGTATTGGGCTTTAACGGACCATATTTGTCTTAATGGATTATATTGGGCCTTAATGGATCGTATTGGGCTTTAACGAACCGTATTGGGCTTTAACGGACCGTATTGGACATTAATGGATCGTATTAGSCTTTAATGGATCGTATTGGGCTTTAACGGACCGTATTTGCTTTAATGGATCGTATTGGGCTTTAACGGATCGTATTGGACATTAATGGATCGTATTTGCTTTAATGGACCGTATTGGGTCTTAATGGATCGTATTGTTCATTAATGAACCATATTGGGTTTTAAT